TGATATCTAAATGATCATACGTTTAAGATCTCGAGGAGTTGAACTCAAGGTTACACAGTAGAACGTCTGTAGAATTACTTAATAACGACCAGCATTTAACGAGATGGGAGGTTATAGGCAGGCCCCCCGTTACAACGGCACCTAACACGGTACCTAACATTGTACCTAACACGGTACCTAACACGGTATCTAACACTATACCTAACAGCGTACCAACGACGGTGCCATTAGGCGTCGGAGGCAGGCTACCGGCGGGTCCTCAGTGGCTGGGTATAGGATATGTATGGTGTTATAGTGCCAGAATGGTAGGTGGTTGGGCTATCATTGATCATCACCGTGTTCTCCATGCTCCCCGCACCGCCTGGAGGCTCCCCGCACCGCCTGGAGGCTCCCCGCACCACCTGGAGGCTCCTCGCACCGCCTGGAGGCTCCCCGCACCGCCTGGAGGCTCCTCGCACCGCCTGGAGGCTCCCCGCACCACCTGGAGGCTCCTCGCACCGCCTGGAGGCTCCCCGCACCACCTGGAGACTCCTCGCACCGCCTGGAGGCTCCCCGCACCACCTGGAGGCTCCCTGCACCACCTGGAGGCTCCCTGCACCACCTGGAGGCTCCCTGCACCACCTGGAGGCTCTCCACATCACTTGGAGGCTCCCTGCACCATCCGGCGGCTCCCTACACTACTTGGAGGCTCCTCGCACCGCCTGGAGGCTCCCCGCACCACCTGGAGGCTCCCCGCACCATCCGGCGGCTCCCTACACTACTTGGAGGCTCCCCGCACCGCCTGGAGGCTCCCCGCACCACCTGGAGGCTCCCCGCACCGCCTGGAGGCTCCCCGCACCACCCGGAGGCTCCCCGCACCGCCTGGAGGCTCCCCGCACCACCTGGAGGCTCCCCGCACCGCCTGGAGGCTCCCCGCACCACCTGGAGGTTCCCTGCGCCACCTGGAGGCTCCCCGCACCGCCTGGAGGCTCCCCGCACCACCCGGAGGCTCCCTGCACCACCTGGAGGCTCCCTGCGCCACCTGGAGGCTCCCCGCACCACCTGGAGGCTCTCCGCACCACCTGGAGGCTCCGCACCACCTGGAGGCTCCCCGCACCACCCGGAGGCTCCCCGCACCACCTGGAGGCTCCCCGCACCACCCGGAGGCTTCCCACGCAACCTGGAGGCTCCCCGCACCACCTGGAGGCTCCCCGCACCACCCGGAGGCTTCCCACACCACCTGGAGGCTCCCCGCACCACCTGGAGGCTCCCCGCACCGCCTGGAGGCTCCCCGCACCACCTGGAGGCTCCCCGCACCACCTGGAGGCTTCCCACGCAACCTGGAGGCTCCCCGCACCACCTGGAGGCTCCCCGCACCACCCGGAGGCTTCCCACACCACCTGGAGGCTCCCCGCACCACCTGGAGGCTCCCCGCACCGCCTGGAGGCTCCCCGCACCACCTGGAGGCTCCCCGCACCACCTGGAGGCTCCCGCACCACCTGGAGGCTCCCCGCACCGCCTGGAGGCTCCCCGCACCACCCGGAGGCTTCCCACACCACCCGGAGGCTCCCCACACCACCCGGAGGCTCCCCGCACCACCTGGAGGCTCCCACACCACCCGGAGGCTCCCCGCACCACCCGGAGGCTCCCAGCACCACCCGGAGGCTCCCCGCACCACCTGGAGGCTCCCCGCACCGCCTGGAGGCTCCCCGAACCACCTGGAGGTTCCCTGCGCCACCTGGAGGCTCCCCGCACCGCCTGGAGGCTCCCCGCACCACCCGGAGGCTCCCTGCACCACCTGGAGGCTCCCTGCACCACCTGGAGGCTCCCCGCACCACCTGGAGGCTCCCTGCACCACCTGGAGGCTCCCCGCACCACCCGGAGGCTCCCCGCACCACCTGGAGGCTCCCCGCACCACCCGGAGGCTTCCCACACCACCTGGAGGCTTCCCACGCAACCTGGAGGCTCCCCGCACCACCTGGAGGCTCCCCGCACCACCCGGAGGCTACCAGCACACCACCTGGAGGCTCCCCGCACCACCTGGAGGCTCCCCGCACCGCCTGGAGGCTCCCCGCACCACCTGGAGGCTCCCCGCACCACCTGGAGGCTCCCGCACCACCTGGAGGCTCCCCGCACCGCCTGGAGGCTCCCTGCACCACCCGGAGGCTCCCCGCACCGCCTGGAGGCTCCCCGCACCACCCGGAGGCTCCCCGCACCGCCTGGAGGCTCCCCGCACCACCCGGAGGCTCCATACACCACCTGGAGGCTCCCTGCACCACTTGGAGTCTCCCTGCACCACCTGGAGGCTTCCTGCACCACCTGGAGGCTCCCTGCACCACCCGGAGGCTCCCTGCACCACCCGGAGGCTCCCTGCACCACCTGGAGGCTCTCTGCGCCACCTGGAGGCTCCCTGCACCACCTGGAGGCTCCCTGCACCACCTGGAGGCTCCCTACACGACCTGGAGGCTCCCTACACCACCCGGAGGCTTCCTGCACCACCTGGAGGCTCCCTGCACCACCTGGAGGCTTCCTGCACCACCTGGAGGCTCCCTACACCACTTGGAGGCTCCCTGCACCACTTGGAGTCTCCCTGCACCACCTGGAGGCTCCATACACCACCTGGAGTCTCCCTGCACCACCTGGAGGCTCCCTACACCACTTGGAGGCTCCCTTCACCACTTGGAGTCTCCCTGCACCACCTGGAGGCTCCATACACCACCTGGAGTCTCCCTGCACCACCTGGAGGCTTTTTGCACCACCTGGAGGCTCCCTGCACCACCCGGAGGCTCCCTGCACCACCCGGAGGCTCCCCGCACCACCTGGAGGCTCTCTGCGCCACCTGGTGGCTCCCTGCACCACCTGGAGGCTCCCTACACCACCTGGAGGCTCCCTACACCACCTGGAGGCTCCCGCACCACCTGGAGGCTCCCCGCACCGCCTGGAGGCTCCCTGCACCACCCGGAGGCTCCCCGCACCGCCTGGAGGCTCCCCGCACCACCCGGAGGCTCCCCGCACCACCCGGAGGCTTCCCACACCACCCGGAGGCTCCCCACACCACCCGGAGGCTCCCCGCACCACCTGGAGGCTCCCACACCACCCGGAGGCTCCCCGCACCACCCGGAGGCTCCCTGCACCACCCGGAGGCTCCCCGCACCACCTGGAGGCTCCCCGCACCGCCTGGAGGCTCCCCGAACCACCTGGAGGTTCCCTGCGCCACCTGGAGGCTCCCCGCACCGCCTGGAGGCTCCCCGCACCACCCGGAGGCTCCCTGCACCACCTGGAGGCTCCCTGCACCACCTGGAGGCTCCCCGCACCACCAGGAGGCTCCCAGCACCACCAGGAGGCTCCCCGCACCACCCGGAGGCTCCCCGCACCACCTGGAGGCTCCCCGCACCACCCGGAGGCTTCCCACACCACCTGGAGGCTTCCCACGCAACCTGGAGGCTCCCCGCACCACCTGGAGGCTCCCCGCACCACCCGGAGGCTTCCCGCACCACCTGGAGGCTCCCCGCACCACCTGGAGGCTCCCCGCACCGCCTGGAGGCTCCCCGCACCACCTGGAGGCTCCCCGCACCACCTGGAGGCTCCCGCACCACCTGGAGGCTCCCCGCACCCCCTGGAGGCTCCCCGCACCACCCGGAGGCTCCCCGCACCGCCTGGAGGCTCCCCGCACCACCCGGAGGCTCCCCGCACCGCCTGGAGGCTGCCCGCACCACCCGGAGGCTCCATACACCACCTGGAGGCTCCCTGCACCACTTGGAGTCTCCCTGCACCACCTGGAGGCTTCCTGCACCACCTGGAGGCTCCCTGCACCACCCGGAGGCTCCCTGCACCACCCGGAGGCTCCCTGCACCACCTGGAGGCTCTCTGCGCCACCTGGAGGCTCCCTGCACCACCTGGAGGCTCCCTGCACCACCTGGAGGCTCCCTACACGACCTGGAGGCTCCCTACACCACCTGGAGGCTTCCTGCACCACCTGGAGGCTCCCTGCACCACCTGGAGGCTTCCTGCACCACCTGGAGGCTCCCTACACCACTTGGAGGCTCCCTGCACCACTTGGAGTCTCCCTGCACCACCTGGAGGCTCCATACACCACCTGGAGTCTCCCTGCACCACCTGGAGGCTCCCTACACCACTTGGAGGCTCCCTGCACCACTTGGAGTCTCCCTGCACCACCTGGAGGCTCCATACACCACCTGGAGTCTCCCTGCACCACCTGGAGGCTTTTTGCACCACCTGGAGGCTCCCTGCACCACCCGGAGGCTCCCTGCACCACCCGGAGGCTCCCTGCACCACCTGGAGGCTCTCTGCGCCACCTGGTGGCTCCCTGCACCACCTGGAGGCTCCCTACACCACCTGGAGGCTCCCTACACCAGCTGGAGGCTCCCTGGACCACCCAGAGGCTCCCTGCACCACCTGAAGGCTCCCTGCACTACTTGGTGGCTCCCTGCACCACCCGGAGGCTCCCTGCACCACCTGGAGGCTCCCTGCACCAGCTGGAGGCTCCTTGCACTACTTGGTGGCTCCCTGCACCACCCGGAGGCTCCCTGCACCACCTGGAGGCTCCCTGCACCACCTGGAGGCTCCCTGCACCACCTGGAGGCTCCCTGCACCACCTGGAGGCTCCCTGCACCACCTGGAGGCTCCCTGCACCACCTGGAGGCTCCCTACACCACCTGGAGGCTCCCTGCACCACCTAAAGGCTCCCTGCACCACCTGGAGGCTCCCAGCACCACCTGGAGGCTCCCTGCACCACCTGGAGGCTCCCTGCATCATCTGGAGGCTCCCTGCACCATCTGGAGGCTCCCTGCACCACCTGGAGGCTCCTCTCTCCATGCCGTCAAGAAATACGCGCTGCTGCCTCTACTAATGTGTATGAACTCTTCTCTAGTGTAACGCGTCTGTCATTAGTAAGTCTCAAGTGATATTTGTCACTCTTAATTTGCTCAGAATTTGTTCATTTTTCTAGTTCTTCCAAAGTCATGAAAAACATAAGAAATAGAGAGGAAAAAATATTACCTCTAAGAATGATCGCTGAAGGTGTGTAGCTTATGAGAATGATCGCTGAAGGTGTGTAGCCTCTGACAATGATCGCTGAAAGTGTGTAGCCTCTGAGAATGATCGCTGAAGGTGTGTAGCCTCAGAGAATGATCGCTGAAGGTGTGTAGCTTCTGAGAATGATCGCTGAAGGTGTGTAGCCTCTGACAATGATCGCTGAAAGTGTGTAGCCTCTGAGAATGATCGCTGAAGGTGTGTAGCCTCAGAGAATGATCGCTGAAGGTGTGTAGCCTCTGAGAATGATCGCTGAAGGTGTGTAGCCTCTGAGAATGATCGCTGAAGGTGTGTAGTTTCTGAGAATGATCGCTGAAGGTGTATAGCCTCTGAGAATGATCACTGAAGGTGTGTAGTTTCTGAGAATGATTGCTGAAGGTGTGTAGCCTCTGAGAATGATCGCTGAAGGTGTATAGCCTCTGAGAATGATCGCTGAAGGTGTATAGCCTCTGAGAATGATCGCTGAAGGTGTGTAGCCTCTCAGAATGATCGCTGAAGGTGTGTAGGTCTTGGTCTTTCTCTCTCTCTCATTCTCTCTCTCTCTCTCTCTTTCTCTCTCTCTCTCTCTCTCTCTCTCTCTCTCTCTCTCTCTCTCTCTCTCTCTCTCTCTCTCTCTCTCTCTCTCTCTCTCTCTCTCTCTCTCTCTCTCTCTCTCTCTCTCTCTCTCTCTCTCTCTCTCTCTCTCTCTCTCTCTCTCTCTCTCTCTCTCTCTCTCTCTCTCTCTCTCTCTCTCTCTCTCTCTCTCTCTCTCTCTCTCTCTCTCTCTCTCTCTCTCTCTCTCTCTCTCTCTCTCTCTCTCTCTCTCTCTCTCTCTCTCTCTCTCTCTCTCTCTCTCTCTCTCTCTCTCTCTCTCTCTCTCTCTCTCTCTCTCTCTCTCTCTCTCTCGTGAAGTTAAGACAAGTAACCAGAAAATTTCGCGGCGAGGCCCCCGCGTGACGTGTGTGTGTTTACTGACCCATAAATAACGCCGCCGTTAGCGGCCGCCAACCTTGAACCCGCGAGGCGCCCCACCCGGCCACATCATGGAACTAGCGGCGGTGTCACTGAACTAGCGGCGGGGTCATAGAACTAGCGGCGGCGTCACAGAACTAGCGGCGGGGTCATAGAACTAGCGGCGGCGTCACAGAACTAGCGGCGGCGTCACAGAACTAGCGGCGGCGTCATAGAACTAGCGGCGGGGTCATAGAACTAGCGGCGGCGTCACAGAACTAGCGGCGGGGTCATAGAACTAGCGGCGGCGTCACAGAACTAGCGGCGGCGTCACAGAACTAGCAGCGGCGTCATAGAACTAGCGCCGGCGGCGTCATAGAACAAGCGGCGGGGTTATAGAACTAGCGGCGGCGTCATAAAACTAGCGGCGGCGTCATAGAACTAGCGGCGGCGTCATAAAACTAGCGGCGGCGTCACAGAACTAGCGGCGGCGTCATAAAACTAGCGGCGGCGTCATAGAACTAGCGGCGGCGTCACAGAACTAGCGACGGCGACATAGAACTTGCGGCGGCGTCATAGAACTAGCGGCAGCGTCATAGAACTAGCAGCGGCGTCATAGAACTAGCGGCGGTGTCATAGAACTAGCAGCGGGGTCATAGAACTAGCGGCGGCGTCATAGAACTAGTGGCGGCGTCAAAGAACTAGCAGCGGGGTCATAGAACTAGCGGCGGCGTCATAGGACTAGCGGCGGCGTCATAAAACTAGCGGCGTCATAGAACTAGCGGCGGCGTCATATAACTAGCGGCGGCGTAATAGAACTAGCGGCGTCATAGAACTAGCGGCAGCGTCATAGAACTAGCGGCGGCGTCATAGAACTAGCGGCGTCGTTATAGAACTAGCGGCGGCGTCATAGAACTAGCGACGGCGTCATAGAACTAGCGGCGTCATAGAACTAGCGGCGTCATAGAACTAGCGGCGTCATATAACTAGCGGCGGCGTCATAGAACTAGCGCCGTCATATAACTAGCGGCGGCGTCATAGAACTAGCGGCGTCATAGAACTAGCGGCGGCGTCATAGAAATAGCGGCGGCGTCATAGAACTAGCGGCGGCGTCATATAACTAGCGGCGTCATAGAACTAGCGGTGTCATATAACTAGCGGCGTCATAGAACTAGCGGTGTCATATAACTAGCGGCGTCATAGAACTAGCGGCGTCATATAACTAGCGGTGGCGTCATAGAACTAGCGGCGTCATATAACTAGCGGCGGCGTCATAGAACTAGCGGCGTCATAGAACTAGCGGCGGCGTCATAGAAATAGCGGCGGCGTCATAGAACTAGCGGCGGCGTCATAGAACTAGCGGCGTCACAGAACTAGCGGTGGCGTCATATAACTAGCGGTGGCGTCATATAACTAGCGGCGGCGTCATAGAACTAGCGGCGTCACAGAACTAGCGGTGGCGTCACAGAACTAGCGGTGGCGTCATATAACTAGCGGCGGCGTCATAAAACTAGCGGCGTCACAGAACTAGCGGCGGCGTCACAGAACTAGCGGTGTCGTCATATAACTAGCGGCGGCGTCATAGAACTAGCGGCGTCACAGAACTAGCGGTGGCGTCATATAACTAGCGGCGGCGTCATAGAACTAGCGGCGTCATAGAACTAACGGCGTCATAGAACTAGCGGTGACGTCATAGAACTAGCGGCGTCATAGAACTAGCGGCGTCATAGAACTAGCGGCGTCATAGAACTAGTGGCAGGGTCATAGAACTAGCAGCGTCGTCATAGAACTAGCGGTGGCGTCATAGAACATGTGGCGGCGTCATAGAACTAGCGGCGGCGTCATAGAACTAGAAGCGTCATAGAACTAGCGGCGTCATAGAACTAGCGGCGTCATATAACTAGCGGCGGCGTTATAGAACTAGCGGCGGCGTCATAGAACTAGCGACGGCGTCATAGAACTAGCGGCGTCATAGAACTAGCGGCGTCATAGAACTAGCGGCGTCATATAACTAGCGGCGTCATAGAACTAGCGGCGTCATATAACTAGCGGCGGCGTCATAGAAGTAGCGGTGTCATATAACTAGCGGCGGCGTCATAGAACTAGCGGCGTCATAGAACTAGCGGTGTCATATAACTAGCGGCGTCATAGAACTAGCGGCGTCATATAACTAGCGGCGGCGTCATAGAAATAGCGGCGTCATAGAACTAGCGGCGGCGTCATAGAAATAGCGGCGGCGTCATAGAACTAGCGGCGGCGTCACAGAACTAGCGGTGGCGTCATATAACTAGCGGCGGCGTCATAGAACTAGCGGCGTCACAGAACTAGCGGTGGCGTCATATAACTAGCGGCGGCGTCATAGAACTAGCGGCGTCATAGAACTAGCGGCGTCATAGAACTAGCGGTGACGTCATAGAACTAGCGGCGTCATAGAACTAGCGGCGTCATAGAACTAGTGGCAGGGTCATAGAACTAGCAGCGTCGTCATAGAACTAGCGGTGGCGTCATAGAACATGCGGCGGCGTCATAGAACTAGCGGTGGGGTCACAGAACTAGCGGTGGGGTCATAGAACTAGCAGCGTCATAGAACTAGCGGCGTCATAGAACAAGCGGTGTCATAAAACTAGCGGCGTCATAGAACTAGCGGCGTCATAGAACTAGCGGCAGCGTAATAAAACTAGCGGTGGCGTCATAGAACTAGCGGCGTCATAGATCTAGCGGCGTCATAGAACTAGCGGTGGCGTCATAGAACTAGCGGTGGCGTAATAAAACTAGCAGTGGCGTCATAGAACTAGCGGCGTCATAGAACTAGCGGTGGCGCACAGAACTAGCAGCGTCACAGAACTAGCGGCGGCATAAAACTAGCGGAGGCATAAAACTAGCGGCGTCATAGAACTAGCGGCGTCATAGAACTAGCGGCGTCATAGAACTAGCGGCGTCATAGAATAAGCGGCGTCATAGAACTACCGGCGGCGTCATAGAACTAGCGGCATCATAGAACTTGCGGCGTCATAGAACTAGCGGTGGTGTCATAGAACTATATAGCGGGGTCATAGAACAAGCGGTGTCATAGAACTAGCGGTGGTGTCATAGAACTAGCGGGGTCATAGAACTAGCGGCGTCATAGAACTAGCGGTGTCATAGAACTAGCGGTGGCGTCATAGAACTAGCGGCGTCATAGAACTAGTGGCGTCATAGAACTAGCGGTGGTGTCATAAAACTAGCGGCGTCATTGATCTAGCGGCGTCATAGAACTTGCGGCGTCATAGAACTAGCGGTGGTGTCATAGAACTAGCGGCGTCATAGAACTAGTGGCGTCATAGAACTAGCGGTGGTGTCATAAAACTAGCGGCGTCATAGAACTTGCGGCGTCATAGAACTTGCGGCGTCATAGAACTAGCGGCGTCATAGAACTAGCGGCTTCCTAGAACTAGCGGTGGCGTCATAGAACTATCGGCGTCATAGAACTAGCGGTGGCGTCAAAGAACTAGCGGCGTCATAGAACTAGCGGTGGCGTCATAGAACTAGCGGTGTCATAGAACTAGCTGCTTCAAAGAACTAGCAGCGTCATAGAACTAGTGGTGGCGTCACAGTACTAGCGGCGTCATAGAACTAGCGGTGGCGTCACAGAACTAGTGGCGTCATAGAACTAGTGGCGTCAAAGAACTAGTGGCGTTAAGGAACTATAGCGGCGTCATATAACTAGCGGCGTCAGAGACCTAGGGGAGACAAAGAACTAGCAGCGTCATAGAACTAGCGGTGGTGTGATACAACTAGCGGCGGCGTCATAGAACTATAGCGGGGTCATAGAATTAGCGGCGTCATAGAACTAGCGGCGTCATAGAACTAGCTGTGGCCTCACAGAACTAGCGGCGTCATAGAACTAGCGGCGTCATAGAACTAGCGGCGTCATAGAACTAGCGGTTGCGTCCCAGAACTAGCGGCGTCATAGAACTAGCGGCGTTATAGAACTAGCGGCGTCATAGAACTAGCGGTGGCGTCACAGAACTAGCGGGGTCATAGAACTAGCGGCGTCATAGAACAAACGGCGTCAAAGAACTAGCGGCGTCAAAGAACTAGTGGCGTCATAGAACTAGCGGCGTCATAGAACTAGCGGCGTCATAGAACTAGCATTGGCGTCACAGAACTAGCGGCGTCATAGAACTAGCGGCGTCATAGAACTAGCGGCGTCATAGAACTAGCGGTGACGTCCCAGAACTAGCGGCGTCATAGAACTAGCGGCGTTATAGAACTAGCAGCGTCATAGAACAAACGGCGTCAAAGAACTAGCGGCGTCAAAGAACTAGTGGCGTCATAGAACTAGCGGCGTCATAGAACTAGCGGCGTCATAGAACTAGCTGCGGCGTAATAGAACTAGCGGTGGCGTCATAGAACTAGCGGCGTCATAGAACTAGCGGCGTCATAGAACTAGCGGTGGTGTCATAGAACTAGCGGCGTCATAGAACTAGCGGCGTGAAAGAACTAGCGGCGTCATAGAACTAGCGGTGGCGTCACAGAACTAGCGGCGTCACAGAACTAGCGGGGTCATAGAACTAGCGGCGTTATAGAACTAGCGGCGTCATAGAACAAACGGCGTCAGAGAACTAGCGGCGTCAAAGAACTAGTGGCGTCATAGAACTAGCGGCGTCATAGAACTAGCGGCGTCATAGAACTAGCATTGGCGTCACAGAACTAGCGGCGTCATAGAACTAGCGGCGTCATAGAACTAGCGGCGTCATAGAACTAGCGGTGGCGTCACAGAACTAGCGGCGTCATAGAACTAGCGGCGTTATAGAACTAGCGGCGTCATAGAACTAGTGGCGTCATAGAACTAGCGGCGTCATAGAACTTGCTGCGGCGTAATAGAACTAGCGGTGGCGTCATAGAACTAGTGGCGTCATAGAACTAGCGGCGTCATAGAACAAGTGGCGTCATAGAACTAGCGGTGGCATAAAACTAGCGGCGTCATAGAACTAACGGCGTCAAGGAACTAGCGGCGTCAAAGAACTAGTGGTGTCAAGGAACTAGCGGCGTCATAGTACTAGTGGCGTCATAGAACTAGCGGCGTCAAAGAACTAGCAGGGTCATAGA